TATTATCGATATATGTCTGCTTATCTTTGACCAAATAGGAATTGTTTATATGTAAAACAAAATCGCTCATAAAAAAAAATTCTGCAAGCTAAAGAAACCAGAATCTTCCTTCATTGAAATTAAATGAAGATACGTTCAACTAATTACAAGAATTGATGATGTCGGAAGGGATGTTAGTGATCTATAGAATTTAAGAAAATTCATTTCACAGACATAACAGAAAGGTTAGATTTAGTATTCATTTCAGTCACTGACTCAAAAATCCCCATCTTTTTTTTATTTTTACAAATAATATACAATTTTCGTGCATAATAGTAATGGTATTCTCAGCCTACACCTTTATAAAGTACCGTGTCTGGATTTATAAAGTTACCATAAGCTTCCATCTCTAAAAAAAAGCTCAGGTGTTTGAATTTTCTTAAATGGGTTGTTGGGTTGTGAGTAAGATCATATATATATATATGTTGCTCAAACATTCTTTACCATTCTTTGCCTTTGAAAGTTATCCTWAAGTCGTTTTAAGATAAAAATAATWATTTTACCTATTTTCYACAACTGTTTATGATTTTGTTTTGTAAATACGACAGGTGAAGTGAAGATGAMAAGCGCCGGAAGCTGGTGTMYTATCCTGTTAACATTCGTGCTTGTATTTGGTAATTTACAGGAAAATTCCAGTGTGCAAAAATTAATAGAAAGTTTATTTAATTAATCGTTAATTCTCTGTCAATGTCAGAATTTAAAAAAATAACAACATAAGTTACAAAACCGGAATGATTTCTGAAAAGATGAACATTGTAGACTGAAATTTCATAGCAAAATMTTGATGTCTCTGTGGAATATGAGATGTTGCCAGCTCTGAGAAACGGCAGAAGAGAACTGTTCCTCTTCAAACTTGAACAAACATTTTGTCTTTATGTAAAATATTATTGATGTTCTTTTTGAATGTTCTTAATTAAAAGGTCCTTCCACCTGTTTGTTTAAACATATTTATATAAACTATAAGAAAGACTAATTTTCACAAGAGTAACGTAGTATCGCCATCATGAAAAAGCATGACGAACATATAAGAGGGTTTATCGTTTTCATTCAATACGGCAATTGTGACATAACTTCACTCCTACCTAATTTGCATTTCATATCCTTCCTTTTTCAGCTTCTCAAGTGAAATCGAAACAGATAAGTAAGCTAATTGTTGTTTATGTAGATCTACAGTGCACGATGTATTGGGATGCATCGAGCACGCGGGCTCTTTAAAGAACGTCTATGGCTCCAACACCCCAAAAGAGTAGTCTTTCCTCATATATAAAACAATAAAAATCCCTATTAAAAGTCTAATTGTCTAATGAGCATGCGCATTGTGCTTAAATTGCAAAAATTTTGATCTCACATTGAACAATCACTAGTCAGTGCAAAAGTAATCAAAACTTGCACGGAATTTAATTTGAAACAATGGTACTTGGAAGGGGATCATTCTCTATCCAAACCTCAATGATTTGTGTTGATTTATTTATTTCTTTCTCTCTTTAATAGAGTGTAGCGGGATAAAGCTAGATAGGCTTGGCTGCTATGCAGACAATCAGAAGTCAGGGAATCGTCCTCTTCCACTTCTTGTCTTGACATATAGAGATAAAAGTAGTAAGCAGTATGCTGGGGAAATTGTATGGACAAAGTAYGGTACATTCATGGAAACCATCATTTGCAAGTGTGCTGAAAAAGTTTTGAAGCATGGATACAGCGTCATGGGACTGCAAAATTATGGTATGCTTATTGAAAAAGTTATATTAAACAAAATCACCGGTGGATTACTCTGTTTCGCCCCATGTAAGAGAGTCCAGAGCACTAGAGGATTCTGGATTTCAAGCGTTGGATTCCGGATTCTGAAACATTACATTGCGGATTCCAAGCCTTGGTTCTGATATTCCAAAGAATGTGTATGTTTTTAGGATTTCAAACTTTTTGCTGGATTCTGGATTCCAAAAATTTGGACAATTGCACAATCTTCCTTATTATATTAAAGCAAAAACATACATAAATGTATGCCAAAGTTAAAGTTAAGGTTAAGTTAAAGCCAGCCAAATCATCGAATTAATACTTTCATTGCCCATGCATGCAGGTGAATGCTGGTCAGGATCAAGAGATAAAAGCTATAGTAATGACGGTCCAGGACGTGATTGTATCAACTGGAAGTATGAACGGTGTCGGGATGGCATGGACTGCATTGGGGAAGATAACACAAACTTTGTGTACCGGGTGCAAAGAGGTACGAGGCTCAAAATTATAACGAGGAAGAGCATGAAAATGCAAATATATTTCATGTCAATTTTACATAACATCATCAAAACGCTAAGATATATTCATGTGCAACACATAGCAAAGCTTCTTATTTCTTCCCTGTTATTTTCAAGGAGCGGAAATGATTCTACCGATGGAGTTAAAGTTACTGTACCTGGTAGAGTAACTTTAAATATATTTAAATCTATTTCACAATGCGGGTAGTTTTTACTCCAGACGTTTATGTCAACTCGGAAAAAAWTCAAAATTACTCCAAAAGGGATTCAAAACTGCTMCCTAAGTTGCAGTTAAAATTGGTAGAGTTAAATCTACTCCAGAAAAGGAGTTATCTGGTTGCYCTTTTCGAGCTATATAATCCTATATAATCCCAYCCTGTAAACAATCAATAACAGACACGACATGTTTTCTATACAGATCTACCTTCTCCGACAGCGAAACCAACTGAACATCGATCAACAACACCACGGACAACAACACCCACCCCTTCTCAAACACCATCACCATCACCAACTCCATCACCGACACCGYCACCTTCCCCATCTACAACGCCATATCCAACAACATCAGGTACATGGCCCACAACACGTGGTATGTCATCCCCTAAACCATCTGGATTTGGTACCAGTACTGCAAAAAGACCTCCTTCGCCTACAAAGTTTCCCATCCCTTGTTACAGCCCTTCAAATGAACCTTGCARTACACCCATTATGCCTTGYGCTTCACCATGYCAGCCCTTAGTAGATCCAGCATTGYTAATGAGATATCAAGGACCCTCTGCTCTAGGTTTCCCAACGCCAATGGGACAATATCAKCAACAAMCYTTACCTTGTGGRAGTACATGCTCTGCTCAGTGTGCACCAAAGTGTAGAGTAGGATGTTGTAGAAMTTTTGGAGGTCYTGCTTCTGKGGTTCAGTTCCCTATAGGTTATTCAAATCAAAATAGACTCCCGACCTTGGCAAAGCCTGGGTGTAAATATGGCTGTCCTTCGAAGTGTGCTCCTCGATGCACAGCCAGATGTTGTCGATCGGCTATTAAATCTCAAGCGTTTCAAAATCAATTCCTTATGAATTATGCACTTGGTTTTCCCCAGACTGGTCTGCAGTCGTCTTTAAGAGGTTAGTGCAAGATTAAACATGATGTTGGTTTGTCAGTAAGGGAAATATTCAAGTGTCTGTAAACCCTCCTCATCATCGTCTTTATAATTTTTTTAATTGTTACTCGACCCCTAAATAATTAATATTTTCCCAAGTTTTTCAGTTCCTTTCTTACCAAAAAGGACAGCAGTTAATCTGCATGGGCCGGGGTCTGAACTGAAAATCATATTAGAAAGAGATAAGGCAATATTAAATATAACAAGAACCCAAGTTTGGTTCAAGGCGAGCGATCTTGAAAACAGTTTAATTTTAAAAGAGCAGTTTTGTAAAGTTCAAGGGTGCAGATGTTATTTTTATAACTTAGTATTAAATAAATGTTAATATGATGATTTTATGTTGTTATTGTCTTGTTATTTGTAGCACAAGGGCAGTGCAATCAAGGATGTTCTTCGAAATGCGTTCCTCGTTGTAACATTGAATGCTGCAGCACCTTTCAACAGCCTTTCCCTGTCCAACCCCAGATGCCAACATTTTCACCAGTTAACTACCAAGCACAGCTAGTACAGAGAAATATATGCAGACAAGGCTGTCCAGCAATGTGCTCTCCAAGATGCCTACCCGGATGTTGCCGTTGGTCTGGAGGATTTTACAAAAGAGCAGCAATTCTCAAACACAAAATACCTCACCTAGATGATTACTAGAGCTNTTTTTTGGCTTTGGACCCCCCAAAAAGATATTCCTATGCTCGTACAGTGGGAGTTTCTTACAAGACCTCGCCTTTTTAATAAATAATTGTTGAAAAACATGAGTGTATGGTAATTATTTATAACCGTGTCTTTTGGCAAGGTACCGGAATTTGCTTTCTGTTAATCTTCCTTGCAAAGAGAGGAATCTACCGACGAATGAGAAARAGATTTACCAACTGATCGATCATTTTAAGTCCTGTAAGCCCCAGTGCATTCCCAGACGCTCTTGGATGTCAATTTGACATATGCAACTATGGAAATTATAATGAAAACGCGAACACTGCTTCTGAGCAGGCAGGGGTGAGGAAAGGCGAAAAAAGAAAAGCGACACCAAACAAATTGAAACAGATTTGAATTTTGGAAAAGCAAACACTCTGCTGCCCATCTTTCTTTTTTTTTAAGTTAACGAAAATAAAAGTAAAGAAAAATCAATATTTTTGGACGCTAAAATATAATARACCAACATCATTGCTAATAAATGTTATTGTGAATGTTTCAATAAATAAGCTTATGTTTTATCAGAGCGATGTTATGGATTAACATTTACGGTTTTTCAAAACAACATTTAATTGTTCTATTAACAATTCATTTTTGACTTTGTATGTTCTAAAATCGATAACAAAAGAATCAGTGTCTATATATTTTAAGGGAAAAAAATTGATATATTTGTACAGTTTTGTGTTTAAACCCATTTTCATGGAATCGGRCTTCGTCTTTTCTTCTAATTTTACCTGCTCATTGTTTTGTCTTGTTTTGAGTTAACTTGCAAGCAAACATTAATTATTTTGATAATTCTTTTACAACAGTGCTTTAGAATGAAAATATTTCGCACAGCAATGAAAAACAATTGCTTTTTCTTCACTTCCTACTACTTCCTGTGCTGGGTTGCAAAAAAAGGTAACTCAATATGACTTTTGTAATCTTTATCTTTAAACCAATCCTCATCTGAAACTATGCAAAGTGTAATCGCAACTAACAAATTAGGTTTTTGCTACACAAATTGTAAATTTTTGACTATATAATGTCAAAATAACATTTAAAAAGGTTTTGCATTTTCTCGTTGCAAWATTAACAGCAGTATYTTMYWAAAAAAGCACAATGAAAGCCGTTTTAGGTTAAAACCTAAAGCTACCAGATTATCATTTATATTTTCCTTTTGTTGGCAAATCCAAAAACCCTTAGAAGTACAGGAGGCATTTATTGTTACATAAAGAAATACAAAATCGGAATAGCTTGAGGCTTAAATAAACTACAATCAGTMCTATAACGAAAATTAATGATATCCTCATTTGCGGGTGTATCCTTTCTATTGAGGAAACTCATGTTTAATTGCAACCTACGGCTACGTTCACATTGGGCCGGTTCCATTCGGAACCGTTTAGTTTAGGCGCGCGTTCACTGACTGGAACTCTAGAACTGGCCTCATCTGAGGCTGGCAAAGTGTTCAGGTTTGGGGCCGGCTAAAGAGCCGTTCCACTTTGAGGACAGGTCACTTCGAAGCATGAACGGATCCGTGTGAACACTGCTTCAATCCGTACCGAAATGTGGACGGGTTCCGAGATCGCGAGGGCAGTGTCTGATGCTATATTGAAATTATAATTTCCGTTCACCTCTATAACAACCCAGCAGGTTGAGAACGCCGCATGTTTTGCTATTGCTTTTGAAAAGAAGCTGGCACACTCAAAATTATCTACTGGGATTAACAGCCGTTGATATGGAAGGACCTGAAAAGAAATCAAGATAGAGATCGCAAGAAGGACTAKGATGGACTACTAATTTCTTTTTCTTTATAGGACTAGCAGTTTAAAGTCAAAATGAACAACAAATTTACATGGTCATTGGTCATCCTAACTATTTTTGGTAATGAAAATAAATATTACAGTAAATGGGAAACGAAGAGGCTAGGGTCAAAAGCAAAACTTTATTCGAAAAAAATAATTTTGCTCAAACTTAATTTATAATTTCAAGATTTCCAGAGATTTTAAGAGCAAAATTTGTAGCATTCAAAATACAAATTATCAGCTTGAATGTACAAATTTAAGATAATTCCAAAGTAAAAGTTGCAAATTCGTTAAAGAGAAATAAGAATAGTGTCACTCCTTAAAAAATGAGCTCAAAGCAATAACATCTGCACGCTAGACAATATCCTCTGAAAAGAACAAAAATAATAATTCGACGATTTACCCAGACACAAATAATGAATTAATGATAATAAATCGTAGGATTAAAGAGTTTCATAAAGTTTCAAGAAGAAAAATGTTTAATCTTATTTTGTTGTCGACTCTCCAACCAGGGGATGGTTCTAGAATACTGTCGAATACATCATTTGTTAGGTTTTTGGATTTTTTTCAATGAAAAGATGAAAAACCTGCTAGCTTGTAAACATAATAAAGGAAATTAACTAGAAATATATGATTGTGGCTCTAGAGGTTCTTGGCAATTTTCTAGAGATTGATGATACTGACTCTAGTGGAAGAATTCTCTCATATAACTTCAAAACATGAAAACCAAATGAGGAAGTTCTTATTTTGGTGTGCAATTTACCGCAGTGCCCGCCACCTTTGGCGTCAAAAATGGCGCCATCGACCTTTAGATTACCTATTCGACCTATTATTTTCTAACGTTTAACTTATATTTTCGCAGTTTCTCAAGTGGAATCCAAAGACATAAGTATGCTATCCGTTCCATAAAAGCCACGATGAATAAGTATATGTCTCGAATCTACTCCATATATATTAATAACAAATTATATACTTAAAGTAAAAACAAAATGTTCAAATACCATGAAGAAACCTGCTGTGATGTTACCAAAGCTCCCACCCCCTMCCCCCACAAAAACGAAAGAAAGAGAGATAAGATACTTCGCAAACTGTGGAGGACGAGAGATTTTCTTTTGCACTGTCCCTTATATTCAAACCAGCTGTGGGAGAAAAATTGGTCGTCAGGAAAGAAACACAGGTCATCAGAAACCCCAATAAAACGATTTTTTTCTGCTGATGAATCCACCAAAACACCAAAAGCGGGGCTAGTGGCAAAGTTTTTTAAAAGCTTTTTCAATGCARTAAAAAGCAAAGAAAAATGTAAAATTATCATAATGATTACAAATATTTGGACAACGCAAGTGTATCTTGGTGGTACTACAACGCACCAATTCAAACATTTTATCTGCATCTCTCTCTAYATAAGATATGGACTTATTTTTACAGAGTGTAGCGGGTTAAAGCTAGAACGTGTTGGATGCTATAAAGAAAACACCAAAAATCGTACCCTCTCCCATTTGGTCGTCAATTACAGAAATCAAATTGACTGGAAAAATTATGGAAAATTCTTCAAAAAATTCGCTTGTGATTGCGCTAATAAAGTCCTRAAACATGGATACCGTGTCATGGGGCTGCAGTTCTATGGTAAGTTGATTTTAAATCCTTTACATTCTGAACCTTGTGCTTCAAGCAATACTATCCCTGTTTAAACTGTGGTATACTGCAATAATTCACCAAGTAAACCGCTGTACATGTGCATAGGTGAATGCTGGTCAAGAAAAGATGCCAAAAATAGATATGCGAAATATGGTACATCTAAGAAGTGCGTCAATTTAAAGTATAAAGAGTGTCAGAATGGTATGGACTGCGTTGGGAAAGAAGAAACAAACTTTGTTTACAAAGTGCAAAAAGGTGAGAGCTATAAAAAGGACATGGTCCACAAGCATTCATTGTGCTCGTGTTTTAGATTTTCCATATAATGGAAATGAAATAAGAATATGGATGAATACTGCAAGTCACCTCTCAGTTTACATGCAGTAAGATTCGAACCAACGCTATGCATTGCCTAACCTTATATTTGTTTCTTAAACCTAATCAATTAAGCCATGAGATTTCGCTTGAAGTCGTATCTCTACTCAAGGAAGCGAATCCCAAACACTCAAGCAGGAACACAGAAAAATGATGCTCTTTTTTATAGATTTACCCTCTCCAACTCTAAAGCCGACAACGCCTGGTGTTCGCTCCCCCAAACCTTCTGGATCGGGTACCAGCACCGCCAAAAAACCTCCTTCGCCTACAAAGGTCCCAACCCCCTGTTCTCAACCTCAACCTTGTCAGCCAGTAGTATACGTTTCATCAGTAGTGCCTGGACCTTATGCACAGAGTTCATCCAATGGAGCAATGGTGCACCTTCCATCTTGTGGTCCAAAGTGCTCACCACAATGTGTTCCTAGTTGTAATGTAGGGTGTTGCCTATCTCACTATCGGGGTAAACCAATGCAGAGACAAAATAGATGCAGACGAGGCTGCCCAACAAAGTGCGCACCAAAATGTCTGCCAGGATGCTGTCGTCTGTTTGGTGGATTACACAAGGATTCAGCAATAAGCAAACACACTGGACCTAGTCTAGATGATGAATAGTGTACAAGCAATACTACGCTAGCARTGATTCGATACCAGTCCACAGCAAAATGTCCAAGTGCTGAGACAAATCATATTTATGTTTTCCCTTTGCTTATTGTTTTACCGAGTGCTGTTTTATTTACTGAAGTCTGTTTTACTGGCAAGTGGTGAATACAATATTGAATCATAGTGGAGTACTATGCCTTAGGGGGAGCCGGTGGGTTCCTGGGAGAAATATATCTATTCTTCATTCCCAGCCAGCTGTAATTTACAACTGGTTGCCAGCGAGAAATTCAGGAAAAAAGAAGAGAACTCTCCAGGCAAGGAATGCTAGGAATGCTTTCTAAGAAAGTTTGCCAGTAAAACAATTCCTAACTAATAAAACGTATTTGCCGTTTTTKACCTTAAGAAACGTTTGCAGGAACAACATTATTTTAAAGAAGAAGGAAAGGCGTCACATTTGCTTCCAAAAAAGAATGTTTACAAGCCTTCATTATTAAATTTAGGAACAGATAAATTATTTGTATTTAGAAAGAGGAGAATGAATTCAAGAGAGAATTTAAGTAAGTCTTCACCTAAGCTTGAGTCCATTCTTAAAAGTGATAGGAAACTGTCTACGCATGATCATCAAGGAAAAAAGGTGTCGTTTTGTTCTCTTGAAGTACAAAATAACAATAGTTTACAAAACAATAGTGCAGACAAATTTAGAGGTGGCAAAGAGGCAAGAAGCACTCTTCCCGCCGGAAGAATGAACACCCAGCATCTTGAGTTCCCACTGTCCGCTAAGAGAGATTCCTTTTCGAGGTTCAAGCCAAGACACAGGATCTTTACAAATGAACCTGTTGGAATGGATGGAAAAATAACATACGAATTTAAAGATTACGATATGTGGTCTCGNTTTGATGGTTGTGGGGATGAGTGCTGAGTGCTGATTTGCGGCTGAATACCGCTGTTCGATGTAATATGACGGCTTTCACCAAAGCTGTTCAATTGTTGTTATTGTTTTCCAAATCATCACAGGAAAATTAGGTGTACAGTTCATATATCAGACATACATTATTAGTATTCGGATAAACACCAAGGCACAAATCTCTTGAAATTCTTAAGGTAAGTGGCTTACAAACCAGGCGGATATTTGCTGGAATTCAACGGAACACAATTAAAGACCTCTAGAACGTTCCATGTACATTTTCGTTCTTGATGGCATAAAAGTTTACACATTCTTGAATATAATTCAGAAAACGTTTTATACTATAATGAACGTTAACATTGGAAAACGATGAATGATAATCTGTATAAAATTGATACGTACAGAAATCAAGGAAAACCTAGCAAGCTTTCGGTTTTATTGCAAAACTATAATCAGGCAAAGATTTGTAATTTCAAAACATGGATGTTAGAAAACTGTTTAGATAATAAACACATTTTATCGGAAAAAACGTTCCAGAATTCAACATGAGTTTATAAGTCAACAAGTCAACAGATACATAAAGATGTCTTTGATTACAGCTAGATTAAAGCTGTAAGACCGCTCCATGTCGTGGATAAAAATGCCTTTTCCGAATCTTTCAGACGGATATGTTTACTGTAGGCAGTGAAACAGGGCGCCCCGCGTCAGGCCCCACGGGAGGAGTGATCAACCATCACAACAGGTTCCTTGGCCCATGGGAATCGCCGCCTGTTGTGTATTCATAGGCAACGTAACGGTTGATCGCCACGTGATGCTTCCAGTTCTTTGCAGCGCATACAGATAATTCAGAAAACGTTTTATACTAAAGATAGTGTATTCGAAGTTTACTAAATCTCTTAATGCCCAGAGTCACATTCAGTCCTCGACTGCCTATTTTATTTTTATTTTTTTCGAAGATTGAAACTTSCAAATATTGTAAAGATGAAGCGTGTGTTCTTGACCCAGGCTGCTCGTTCGTAAATTAAACAGACATTCTATCCTTTGATTATCATTAAAGGAATGAACTTTATGTTTTTGTAAAGTTAAAAAAAATCTGACAAATAGCACAACTTTCCCAACCGAAGTTAGAAAGTCGTAGAATATCGGGTGATTTCCGTTACTCATTCGTCCCGTGTTCGCCCTCTTTTCGTAAACAGAGATTCGGTCTTTTTCAACCGGGCGGCCATGACAGTAAAGGGAATTTTGAGCAAAAAGATGTAAAATTCAAGCAAAAACTCACATAAATACAGGTAAATAATATCAAAAGAATCTTAAAATACGCTAAAAAGCAATTACAGTACATTGGTTATAATTTTGACTCTGAAAATTCTGAACTTTTGCAGGAGTGGTGCAGCTTTTAAGTTTATAACGTAAKTTAACTTTAKCTTAATTTAATAAGACTTAAGCTAACTTAAGTATAACTTAAGTTTAGCTTAAGTTTATAACGTAACTTTAAGTTAATAAGACTTATATAAGCTAAAGAACTGTAACTGAATATTTTTTAAGCAACCTCTATGCCCATTTATCCTAACTTACTGGGCATATAACTTCATTGTTTTTAAAATGATATTAAAAATCTCATGCATAAGTAGTGATCTTATGAGACCAATAGAATGACCCTATTTGGTCACATGAATGGACCTTTATATGTGATAAAACACTCTTTATTAGTATTCTTTATATAAAGAATACTAATAAGGGTGACCTGATCAGATATAAAGGTCCATGACCCTAGCAAAGGTCTCAGGTTTGATACCAGATCGTTGACCAATGCAGGATGTTTATCAGATGCAGTAAAACAGCTCAGCACTTCTATTTACTGGTTGTGATTTAATCACAATGATAATATCATTTATTAAACATTAATTATTAATAATTTTTGATATAATTATCATGATTTTTTTTAGTATCATATTTCATACAATGTTTACTGTTGCAATTGATTTTAAGCACACATGAGGAACAGGGGTGGATCTAGACTAGTGCCACTAGTTCCATGGAACTATAGTCAAAGTATTTTAAAAGTAAAAGAATTCAATGTTTTCTAAATATATTATCGTCAAAATGCGTTTAAAAACGTATTTTTATAGACTTTTTTAACGATAATTGCCACTGCCATAGGAATCCTGTACAGCATATTCATTTGATACAAAATTTGTGTGTTGGGTAGAGTCCCACGGGAATATTGCTTTCAAATGATATGTTGTCACGCAGTTGCCCCGATATTAGCATATGGCACTGCTCAAACGTGCATCCTATTGGTTTGCACTAGTCAGCTTTGTTTTCTCATGTTTTCTGGCACTAGTCAAAGTCGATTTTCATTGACTACTTGTATGGCTGGCACTAGTCGGCACTGGTAGGAAAGATCGAGCTAGCATGACACCAGAATGTATTTCACAAGACACTCAAGAATAAAACTATACAGTCGATACAGTCAGAATTATAAAACATGGCTTGAAATATAAATCGTGGAGATCCAGCTTGCCGAAAGGTTCGACTTCTTATTTGATTAAGGTGTTTTGTTTAACGATCTTCTGATCAAAAACGATCAAATCACAAACGTGTGGAAACAAACTCTGCCGGCCGATAACGCGTTTGTATTCCCTGAGTCAAAAGAAGTTAGAAGAACTAGAAGATCCAATCCTGTATTGATAAAGTCGGGCTAAAGAATTTTTCGTGGTTGGCTTATTCAGAATATCTCGATGGACAACCGTCTACTCTTTCAATGCCTCGAAGGTCATTCAAACGGTATAAAATGTCAAACACACAAATACGAAGTATGAGACAAGAAGTAGTGCCTTTCGATCAGCAGCTTATTATAAGTACGTTGCTAAAGCAACAAATAGCCAATAATAGAGATATAATCGCGTCATTATTCAAGATTATAATTTTTGTGGGCGCAATTATATTCCCGACATTCCCCTACACGGCCGAAGAGTCGATAATCCGTATGTGTAATATAGTTAATTTAGAGTTTCAAAATTTACATGTTTGTAATTGCTAAAAAATCGTAATTTTGCAATTATGGTATATGGGGTATGGTTGGTTTGAAGGATGGCACTAGTCAACAAAAATCCTAGATCCACCCCTGAGGAAACAAAAATTAGATCATTGCATTAAWTTTTTTTATATAGAAAACGTTTGTGTAAACTGTAATTGTGCTGACAGTCTAGTGATTACTTAAACTTTCTGCGATTTATCAAAGCATGTTAAAATACAACTTAATATAGCTGATGTATTAGATGCGTTTAGTGAAGGTTAGAGACCTCTTTCTCTGAGAGCACAAGGCACTGAATAAAGTGTTTTGTAAAGTGAATTAAAAATATCATGAAGTCTTCCATAAAGAAGATAACTTATTTATTGCTCCTGTCTAGGAAATCAGGAATGGAAGCTGGGCCTTTTGACCTGAACTCCAATATATTAACACTGAATAATCAAGTCATTCTGTGCATTCCTGAAGCATTAAAATTGAGCAATTCATATCCTGAAGCTAGACAGGTGCGGATAGACTCTAAGGTGGTGCTGGTTTCTCACACAGGAATGGGTACTTCAAATAACAGTGCTTATCCAACCATTTCCTATCCTTTGCCATGGCAACACACTTTCTTCCTGACACCTTGGGCTGTGGATTGTAGTCTGGTAGGTTCATAAATTGCCCCACAGGGGTACCATCAGACCAGCTAAAGCCATCACTGCCTTCTTGGTTGCTAAGACCAATCCATACTCCTTGCTCATGCCAATCTAGTATTGTATAGTACACAGTATTAATGGTACACAATATGTCATTTTATAAATATTTATATTTATAATTTAATAATAATTTAATATTTTTTTTAATAATAATAATAATTATCATAAATTTGAAGGTTTCAAAAGATAAAAGACTGGCAGCCATGTTGGAGGAACGAGAAATTACACAGTCACTAAATTTACTTAGAAATCCCTTGTTTGAGTTCCTTCATGATGGTCGCTATGACGTAACCTGAATGTATATTCTGGCGCTCTGATTGGCTGATAAGAATGGTTATAACACGAGACACACTTGTGAGCTCTCATTTGAAAGAAAGTAATGATTTTTGATAAAATGTTAAAAAATTTGCACTCCATTGTCACTGCATTCGTGGGTTCAATTGAGTTTTGAACGTTTTATGACGTTAAGCGTGGATTTCACTAGCACATAAGCATAGCATAAGCACAAGCATGAGAATCTTATGCGTCAGTGAGAACGGGCTCGAAGGGAAGGGAAAGGAAAAAAAGCGAAGGAAATACATATAACAGAAATATATTGATTTACTCGACCCCGTTTTGGATAGGTACGTGCCGCCAGCGGTCTAAATCCCTGACCCTGTTTTTAAAAGACACTAAAAAGTAAAAACCCATATGTTTTTTTTTAAATGTTTTTAAAAGACACTAAAAAGTAAAAATCCATACCCTGTTCAAGACAAATCGGAAAAATAAGGAATAGCTATCTACGCCGAAACCATCAAAACTGCAATTATACTGACATCCATCAAAGACAATAAGAAGTTTTTGATAACACGTTAATTCTGGGACAGTGAAACGGTATTTTACCCTGCCCAAGACAAAAAATTATATCGGTCTCTTTTATCTAAATTGTCGAGCCTGTTTAAGACAATTTCGGGTGAAATGTATACCCTGTTTAAGACAGCAAGGCCAAAAACCATACCCTGGCCAGCGGCACGTCCCCGTATAGCAAATATATGGGAGT